CTTCAACATGGTATCAGAGTAGACATAAGTTTTGGGATCAAATCTCACCACCACTCATATCAAAAAATATTTCCAAGTGCTTCGCCCATGAAAAAGAATCAGGCCTACACGTGAGGAAGCGTGTTGTAAATATAATTAACCAATAAAAATGTGCTCTCTCTAAATGAAATGGTTACACACTTCAACAGAGTACTGAATGGTTGTTTCATTTGTAGGAATTCTTCCATGCACTTTCTTGCTAGTAGGTCTATTATTTATCCCAGAATCTCCAAGATGGCTGGTGAGTTTTCAACATAAAATGGACTACATTCAAGTTTCATCATGAATGAGAGGAACAAAGTGAAATATACTGGTGATTACAATGTTGTTGCAGGCAAAAGTAGGTCTTGAGAAAGAATTTGAAGTGGCATTGAGAAAGCTTCGCGGTAAAGATGCTGATGTTTCTCGTGAAGCTGCTGAAATCCAGGCTTATGTTGATACTCTTCAAAGCCTCCCCAAGACTCGAATCTTTGATTTGTTCAGTAGCAAATACATTCGATCTGTGATCGTAAGCCATTTTCCTTAACATTTCCTGAAATTACGAGTTTAGAAGAGCTTAGACAGAGCTAATGTTCTTGAAATTCAATTTTTCAACAATTTTTTTCTCAGATTGGTGTTGGATTGATGGTATTCCAACAGTTTATAGGAATAAATGGTATAGGTTTCTATGCTAGCCAGACTTTTGAATCAGCAGGTAACGTTGTCCTTCGCTTTTTACTCCATCAATGAAGAACTAAAATGCTCCGAATAACGTTACTAATGATGTGAATGAAAAAAATGCAGGACTCTCTAACAGCAATATTGGGACTATTGCCTATGCTGTAGTGCAGGTTTGTAAATCTCGACAAATTGTTAAAATTTTTGATAAAATTCCAAAGTGAGTGAAAGTGTTGGATCACTAAAACTTTTGTCTTATTGCTTTGACAGGTTCCGATTACTATTGTTGGCGCATTTTTGATGGACAGATCAGGAAGAAGGCCACTTCTTATGGTATATTCAATTGTTTTTTCGTCTTCTGATAATGTTAACTGAATAAAATCTGTGGAGTTTCATCGTTTTCAGGTGTCAGCAACAGGAACATTTCTTGGTTGTTTTCTGACTGGAGCTTCTTTCTACCTAAAGGTAACTAACTCATTGAAAGCACAAAACGTCGATCACTTAGTAATAAAAGTTACGTTGTTGCTTCTTATTTGACAGTCTCTTTCCTTTTTGTTAAACCAGGGAAATGACATCTTACTCGAATGGGTTCCAATTCTAGCTGTATCTGGTGTACTGGTTTACATATCCGCGTTTTCAATTGGAATGGGAGCAGTTCCTTGGGTTATTATGTCAGAGGTAATTCAGAGCCGTTCTCAAGTAGTGTTCCATCAATTACGTAGTCTGAGGTTATTTGACATGAGCTAGAGCTCGATATACACAATTTGTTAGTATATCAAATACACTTGTATACAAATATTGTGTAACCTTATAACTTGTAAATTTCTGCTCAAAATATTGCAGATATTCCCAATTCATGTAAAAAGTGCTGCTGGAAGCCTGGTAGTGTTAGTGAACTGGTTGGGCGCGTGGGCTGTTTCTTACACGTTTGGTTTCCTCATGGCCTGGACTAGCACTGGTAAATTTCTACATACTATGCATATATGAAAATTGTAACATCTTTTAGGCTTTTCTTTAGACTAAACTTTTTAATTTTTTGGGGATTTTTCAGGTACATTTATGCTATATGCTGGATTCTCTGTACTCACTATACTATTTGTAGCAAAGGTAGTGCCAGAAACAAAGGGGAAAACATTGGAGGAAATTCAGGCTATCATCAATTCTTGACTGGAAATTTCACAATGTAGTTTAGCCAACTAGACGGACTTCATAATTTATCGAGAAATGGTTCAAATTTTTTGACGTTGGAGAAACAAAAGAAGGAATGTGATCAACGGATACTTCCCTGTTGTACCATAACCGGATGTCCCAAGAAGGGAATTCGACAGTGTAGATTTTATGGTAGGTTTTGTAGCAAATGGATTTAATTTTAGAGTTGTGTTGTTCTGTAGTCAAAAGAAAATATGTTGTTGAATGAAAGATGAATTTAAAAGCTGCATTCAGAAAAAAGAAAAAAAACATTTCTTGTTCCTGTTTTTTACCCAATCCATTTCATTTGTTGGACTATATTGGCTTAGTGTTAGATTTTAGCCTTTAGGGTGGTTTGGTATCATTCTGATTTTGCTTCTAATGGTATCAGTGAGAAGCTAAGTTCCGTTTTTAGCTTTAGCAAGCTTGTGACCGCCTGAACAGACTAGTCTATGCTCAACCAACATTTCAAACTTATCTCGATACTGAATAGCAGAGAGAGAAAGTGTACAAAAATAATACTCTATTAAATAAGATGTAATATTAGGCTGTCTAGTTACATTAGTTCCATATAGACATCTTTTTGGCCTTATTATTTTTTTGGTAAGTTGAATCTTTTTGTTCAAGTATGAGAAGAAATGTACAAGAGAACCTTTAGTTTTTTTTGGTTTTGTAAATATTTTCACTTGGTAATTAATAAAATTTTTAATTCTCAAAAAAATAAAAATAATTATACCCTCATCTCTTAAAACAAAACTATTTGGGCCCCAGCACCCAACTTACAAAGGGATCAAAGCATGCCTATTGAATTGATGTATTTTTGTTATAATACATAAGTATCTCCCTGGCTTCGGTTGATATCTATATCCTTCAACTTTATACAAGTAGACACTTAAGTTTGTATAAAATTAAATAAATAAAAGTATTCATTTTACATAGCGTCCTACATGACAATTTCGTGTCCTATGTGATGTCCTATATGTATTATGCCACATAGGATATGTGTGTCTACTTATTCAATTTTGGGCTAACCCATCGGTGGCCCCTTAAATTTGACACCAAATTTCATTTAGACACCTTAACTGAGTTTTGTTCATTTTAGACACCTTATGTAGGGTTCCGTTGTGTCATTTAGACACTTTTTTAACAATCACCCAAAAATATAAAGTGTGTGTTAAACACTCGCCGATAATGTGTTAAAGTGACAAATTAAACAAAGACACATGTCATATATATAAAAAATAATTCTAAACTAATGACTTTTAAGTAAAAAGAAAAATAACCACTAGTTTGATGACATGTGGCATTTCAAACTCAAATAATAAATATTTTTTAAAAAGAAATTCATCACTTCTAATTTTCATCAAGAAACTCACCCTTTTTTTCTTCACCCAACCAACCCAGGCGTCTTCTCCACTCCACCCATCCCAACCCCAACCGCTCCTCCACCCCCACCAGATCGTCCTCTTCACCCCACCCACCCCAACCTCAACCTCTTTCCCACCCATTTCGTCTTTTCAAGAAACATTATCAAAAGAATTTACTTACTTTGAAAATTCTAATTTTATTTGTATTGTATTACTTTGTTCAGCGTGATTTTAATTTCTTTTTCTTTGTCGCGTATTTGCTTTTTTGTTCAGCTTGCTCTTTCTTAGCATTGCTTTTAGAATGATGATTTCTTCATTCATTCTTATTTGTCCATATAGTAAAACTAGATAGAATTTATTAAATTTTTCCAATTTTTACTTGATAGTAGTTTTTTACTTTTTTTTAATAAATATTGTAAAGTTCCAAGCAATTTTACCAATAATGCAAACATTCCTTTCATCTGAAGTTCCGTAAAATATCACGAGCCAATGACAACAATGCTTTGTCAAGGGAGAGAACGCACAGCATTGTTAAGTTTGAATTTGGAGAGAATTCGAAGAAACATCCATGGAAGAAGGAAGAAGGAAGAAAGTCATCCATAAAAGAGAGGGAAAAGCTGCTAGTTTGGGGTTATATGCAAAGTTGAAGAGACAAAAGAGGAAAGGGGTAATAACTAATAGATACAATGCATAAAAATATGCTACTAATTGGAAAATACACTGTTAAATTGAAATAAAGTAATAAATGGATAGTGTAGCTGCTAATTGTAACTAATTTTAATTATATCTATGTATAATAAATACATGGCATGTCTGCTATACTACGTAATTTTTCTACAAAAGAATATCCCCTCCACAGACTCAACAGGTTTAAGGTTTTGAATCTTATTGTTGGGCAGGGTCCTGGGCTGTTAGGGGGCATGAGCATCAGTTTGGTGTAGAGGATAATAAGGAGCATAACCAGGATAGAATGGTGGAAATGGAGTACCCATGATTTCAAATTGCAGCTAGAAATTAAAGAGAGAGTGACTAAGGCAACAAAAACTTGTAAAATGTAGATGTGGTGAAATAGAATTAAGTGTGAGTGTATATATGGTGAGTGCATAAAAAGAGAAAAGCTCTCCCAGAATTGACAGCATGATCAAGTGGATCCACTTCAACTGAATCTAATACCCCTTCTATAAACAAAGAACTATTCATGAATCCCCAAATGACAGAAAACTGGAAGGGAGAGAGGAAGAATAGGAGCATGAATATGCAAAATTCTATTGACACAATCCTTGTTGTCAACTAAAAAGGGTGCCCAAGGATGTGAACTAGCGATCAGTGATATTGAGATTAATACCATGAGAAATCAGGGATCGGATACCAGCAGCAGCAAAACAAAGGTTATATCTTCCTAAATGCCGAAGTATTGGTGGGAGGGCAACCTGGAAGAGTTGGTTGATACATAAATTGATGGAGGATGCATGTACCCGATGAGAATCTGAGGTGTCATTCTTAACTGGACTCCATTGTTAAAACTAGGAGATGGAGGGATTGGGTGTCAATGCTCTTATAGAAACGTCATACAAGAAAAGAGATTTAGTGAAGGATACAGTATCATCAACCAAATACTTAATATATGAAGCATAGCTCCAGATATGAATGAAAAGGTGCAATAGAGGAAACTCAAAGAGATATGATTAAACATTCAGAACAAGCACTAACGCATATTACAAAAGCTTGGGAATAAGAGCACATTAGAACTAAAATGGAAACTGAAACCTCTTATAACACGAACCTAACAGTAGTCATACGGCCAATTGAAAGCATAGACACGCCCATACTTTAACAAGGGAAATTTCAGCCAAAATGGAAAGTGGAACCTCCTATATACACTCTTGCCTAATCTTAATAGTATCTCTCTAAAACTACTAAGATTCAGAGTGCTCTCCTCCTTCAGGAGAAACTTAAAAAAGAAAAACTCCAAGGATTCAAATCCGGAGAAACTCTACAACCTGCCAAAATTCTAAAATCTCTTTAGGATCAATACGATAAACAGAAGGAACCATCGTACTTGGCCATACTCTGCTAAGACAAAATAAAAGAACATCGCCGAATCACCAGTAACAACCTGAGCTGAATAAGAGAATCTCGATTTAGTTCCGAGGTAACTTCACAAGTACATGGAAAGGTATAACCATCCTGCAGAGAATGATGCCCACCCTTTCAATTATATATCTTCTTTCCACAATCCTTCTTTGAGCTTTTGAGATATAGATTTCTTCAAATTGGCAAAGGCAAAAAATAGTTTATATGAATTAAACAAGAATACAAGTTTTCATAAGGCTAAAATTCATCTTGAACACACACATTCAGTTTTCTGCTCAGTAGACATTCCTAGGTTCAGATTATTATTTACTCCAATACTTAATCCAGGAAACAACTCAAACGAATGCCAAAAAGATGCAAAAGAACATGCAATGCATCCATTCCTTCCACATTCAGATGTTAAAATCAAATTCAAGCAAATTTCTACAACAAAGCAATTCATAAAAGGAGGGTGAGGTTTATCTTATGCCTTGCAACTTTGCCGCAATTCAAGTACACTAATACCAATAGCACAACAATTTTATCAATGCCAATAAAATAATGTAAGAAAGCATGTAGCAAGGGATCACCAAACTAAAAAAACAAGCCTGAGCAGATTTAGGGAAGCACTACCGCATGGAAGTGACCTTTCATTAGTTAAAAGTACAAAGAACATCTCTACACAATAAAATACTGTACGGAATAATATCCTTAGTCTAACAAAAACAACCCACACCACCATATCCCAGTCTTCACATTCTAATAGATTGAATGCCCAGACACTAGCCGTTGCGAGCCAAGTAACCTGAGAAAAAGGCATTTACCACACAAGTAATCGCAAAATCATAACTTGATTACACAAATCAACATCTTTTCAACCCCACCTTAATCTTACCAGTTTTCCTGCTACAATTATAGCTGAGGGAGACTACCATTCCCCTTCCTAGCACTGGAATTCACCATTCGCGGATCCTGATCCTTTACAGCCACCATTCCATGGTTTATCATCTCCCTTTGGCCATTCTCACACACCAATTCCCCAGACTTCTCATGCTCAACTCCAGTAGCACCGGTATGATTCTGCACTAATCCTCCCCTAATAGCAGATGAAGGGGTCCCCATTGCTACCCCATTCATCTCCACATCCATTGCAGATCCATTATTCTCACCTGGCAACCCCAGGATCGGATTCTGCCCTTTCAAGTCCACAGAATTCAAAGCTACTAAAACCTCAGAAGACCCATCCAACCTCTCCGCATTCATGACATTCTCCTCCTCCAATGGCATAGCTGCAACCACCATACTAAGGCATTGATTACTACCCCTGTTAATCCCATTGCCATAACCCAATCCCGGGCCACTAGAAGGAAACTGCAATCCATCCTTCTTCTTCAGCTTATCCCTAGCCGTAAGATAAGCCACATGTTCTAAAGCCTCTCTAGCTCTTTTCCTAGTAAATGCCGCCTCCTTCGCCCTCCTCTCCGCCTCAACCCTTGCAGCCAAAGCTGCTTTAGTCACAGTCCCAGCAGCAATCTTCGCAGCCGCTAACAAAACCTTAGCCGCCTTCATATCAACAACCCTAGACTCCTCATTACCCAAACCAACCTCTTTTCCCTTCTTAAGTGAAAAAAGAGGGGTATTAGGGTTAACACAAAGGGGGCAATGGTAAGGGTGAGGAGGGTTGACACCCACACAGGAATTGTGAGAATACGAATAGCATTTGAAACAAGAAACAAGGCCGTTTGAGGCCGCGTTAGGTGGAGGGGTAGGGTTATAAACGAGCAAACAAGTGGGACAAAACGATTGAATGTGGAGTCTGAGGACACAGTTGGTGCAAAGTCGACGGTATAATCCTCTGTGGCGGACGTTGTGGAGAAACCACCGTTCCTCGACGTTGCAGTTGCCGCAGGTGGTAGGGACGGGGAGAGGGGCGACGGTGGAGTTGTTGGGGAAGTTCTGTTTCGTCATTTTTGAAATCGGAACATGAAAAAGGGGAGAAGGAAGAGCAACTTCATGTATATAGTGAGAGAGAATCTGATAATCCGGTTTTTTTTTTTCTGCAGAAGGAGAGTGAAAAAGGATTCTCTGTGTTTCGAATTAGGGTTATCTATATTGGGGATTGTTGAGCAAGACGAGGGAGAGAAAAGATCTCCAGCCAAACGACACCGTTCTAGCGGGGTGTATTAGAGGGGGTTTGAATTGAATTAAAAGTTGGTCAAACTTATTTTTAAGTTAGTTTTTTACTTTCTTTGAGAAATATAAAAATAATTTAAAATAAGTCAAAAATTAATTAAAATAAATTTGGAAATATTTGATAAAGTTAAAAATGACTTAAAATAAGTTAAAAACCAAAAGTTGGTCTCCAAAGGGCTTTATTTTTTTGACTTAAAAGTTATTCTCTCTATCCAACAATAGTTGTTCATTATTGACTTGGTACACCCCTTAAGAAATAATAAATAATAGGGATAATATTATTATATTATCTTTTGACTTTATTAAATTTAATGTTTTGAAAAATGTGTTGTAGATGATAAATAATATTTAATAGCAAGGGTAAAATAGACATTAAAGGTAAATTATCTCTTGATTTTCTAAACTGGACAAATATTATTGGACAACTATTATTGAATAGAGGGAGTAATTTTTTTAAGACAATCCAAATAGGCTCTTAGTCTATTTAGTCCTTGCTCATTTGGTGTGCATGATTAACAATGAAAAACTGTTGGGAAAAAAAGAAATTTCATAAATAGCAAAAAGATTAAATTTAATAAATTATCTATAATTTTTTTAATTACATTTCATAACTATTGTTTTGTTTGTTGTGAATATTTTTATTTGTATAATTAGTATATACAAATTATGTATTTTTACATTTATACAAATCAAATATATAACCGAATAATTATATACAAGATAGGATAAGCATATATAAATTCTGAATTTATATAATTAGAAACCAATTTATGCAAATTCTAAATTTGTACAATTAGGAACCAAATTATACAAATTCTAGACGCGCCACATAATTATGATGGTAAGTTAGTAGCGAATGATAATTTAATTAAACCATTGCTATATTAACTAGTATATATTTGCGTCTCCGCATAATTTTCCCTTTTAAAAATTATACTAATCCAGAATATTTCAGTTCCAAATTATGCAAAGTTGAATATGACTGCAAACTTTTCTTTAACAAGTGTTCATTCAAGTAGATGAGATAAAAATAAATCGCAGCCGCTATGACCTTTGCCCTTCATGTGAGCACCTTGTGCACACCACAGACGGCATTGAGGAGATCCCAGATAATCCATGTAGATGACCACCCTTCAAACCAACCGAGTCATCTTGTTTTGACAAGGAAAACAACAATTTTACAACAATATCAGAAAAGGATCAGTATTTCACACATTTGTGTTTGGAGTACGATGTACAGAATGTGTGAGCTCCCTATATACATGATGTGGTCTGTGAAATAGCTAAAACGAGAAAGCTAGTAATCGCGGAACTCGCTATGAAGGTCTGGACTTATAAAACATTACAACTCGAAATTGAAATGCGTACATTAACTATATTTCGGTCACAGCTTGAGTGACTAGTTAAGCAGTGTTCTGATCTTCCTTCTTATTCCTTCTAACTGAGCTAGAACTTCCCTGAGCATATATTGAGAGGATGTTAAGAGCTGGGCATATCTTGTGCCTTCCAACAGAAAAATGCACTGAGCCGCACATGAATTGAGCTTCGTTAAATCGAGCATTTCTCAATATCTACAACTACATAGCTGCTCAGCGTGTGACACAATTTACCTTTGATATTGGTCGTGTAATATTCACCTGCACTGCAACAGAGACAAAAATATTAGTTGATTTATGTTCATCTGTCTTTAAGTTTTGGTGGATAGAGTTATCTAACACCCGTATATATATGCTGGTGTATTATTGATGACAGTGTAACCTGGCTCAGAAAACCACCGCAATTATTAAAAAAACTTATTCACCGGCACTGATATGAGCAGATACTACAATTGATCTTTAGCCAAAAGAGAAAAAGAAAGGTATATTACAGTTCAGCGCTGCTGATAGGAATGCTAAACACTTGATGTTATACCAGCTTTTACTGTCACTGCATAACGGATATTGATATTTAGCTATTAGTTACAGCAAAACATCGTGAGAATTACATCATACGTAGAAATCCAACATGTGACACAGTGGCAGACATCGTTTCCACCTCTAAACTGCTTGAGCATAACATAACAAGAAAAACAGTTGCTTATACCAAGCTACAAAAGTGAAGTGATAAATCACATTTAGACAATTTAGCTATTGAGAGGCTTAAAAGTAGCTGTTAAATTTTTAATTATTACTACATTTTAAGTGGTGCTTTCATCTCACAAAGGTGTAGAGCAAATTGAAGGGAGCCTGCTGTTCTAACTGCAGTTAGTAGTTCTCATATTTGCAAGTGAAAGATCAAATTGTGGTTTTAACATTCTGAAACATTTCTTCTGTTATGGATTATGTAGCAATGTCATCACATATTGGTAATTGAATTTTAAAAATGTAAAGTGACTACAGAAAAATGAGTATCTTCTGATAAACTCCGAACTATCATAATTCATAAAGTTTCCCTTTTATAGTTTAACTATCAGAAGACATTAACTTCCTAAAGTATGATAAACAGTATAATCCCTTTGAAAAGGTAATGCCATCTTCAGATTACTAACAATTAAATAAAACTAAAATGATTCACTTTATAGAGTTAATAAAACATCAAAGTATGTGTAGGGTTTACAAGAAATGCAAGAAATAAAATAACAGAAAAAACTTACTTCTAGGTGTGCTTTGAAAAATTGATGAGCCCTTCAAAATTGAAGCAGGTATCAAATGGATGATTTGGAAAACACAGATGATCAGCAAAAACCACGAGATAAGCCCTTATACGTATATCTTTATGCACGCATCTGCCAAATTGATTGCTGGAACAAGATCCCAATTTAAGTATTATAATCTGTAGTCATGTCCATCAAATTTCCCGAGGCCCTCAGCAAGTATATTGCCAACATTATCCTGTGTGATAAATTTGTCACATGAAGGATTTTGAGTATCTGTTTCATCTTCCACACTGGAACCCACTAATAAAGCATGAGTACTAGCATCAGGAACCCAGCCCTTTTCCAACATTAAATCCAGTAAGAAAGAGGCCTTGTCTTTGTATCCCTCTTTCAAGAGACTATTTATCAGCATATTGTACATGGCTGAATCAACAACTTCAAATTCTGAGACAAGCTTATCTATTGAAGAAAATATCATGTGGACCTGAGAGTTTTCTACCAGATACTCCAGAAGTTTAGAAAGTGTTTCCGAATTCGGTAATAAACCCTGACTAAGCATCATATCCAAGAATAGAACCGACTTCTCTACATGTCCAAGCGAAATCATGCTCTGAATAAGAATGCAATATGTTTCCCCATCCAGCTTACAACCATCCACAACCATTCTCGAGAGCACCATAAAGAGATCACTTGCTCTTCCTAAACTGAATATGCCTTGCATTATGCTGTTGTAAGCAGAAGGAGAAGACAATGTACCACAATAATATGCAATTGGTAGTAATTTGATTGCTCTAAATGTGTACCCACTAGCACAAAGTCCATCCATAAGCTTGCCAAACGAGGTCGATTGAAGAGCATATCTCTTTGATGACATGAAGCAAAACACTTCGGTGGCTTCCTGAATCTCTTCCTTCTGGCAAAGACACTCAATAAGTTGAGCATATGATACCAAATCTAATAACCCAGATTTGGAGCTAAGTTGATGAAACAATGCCAAAGCATCCTCACATTTACCTAATTTGCAGTTGCCAACGATGAGAGCAGAATATGCAGATGAATCAAGACTCACGGAGGAAACAATCATTCTAGCAAGATATTTCAAGGCATCTTTCAACCTTTTATTATCACACAAGTATTGAATCATGATATTCCAAGAACGATGATCTGTGATGTTTCTCTCAAACATTTCATCAAACAGATCTCTTGCCATATTAAAGCTGCCATGATTTAGAATAGCTTCAAGAAGCGCATTGTAAGGCAATACACTTGCAACTTCTTTGTCACTCAAAAACTCCTTAGCTTCACTCAACATATTCAATTCACATAATCCATCTATTATACTCATGAACACATCATCATCTGGCCAAACATCATTATACACCATCTCATCTACAAGTTTTACAGCATCATCCACGAGAAGATTCCAACGCAAACATTTTATCATTGCCCCATAAGTGGATGAATCCGGAAGAACCTTAGACGCTCTCATCACAGAAAACAACCTCCTTACTACATCTAATTCATTCATATCACAAAAAAAAGGAATTATATGAGCGTAAAAGCTAGAATAATCTGGTTCACACCGTATTCTAAACATATCATCTAAAATTGCAAGTGCCTCATCCACTCTACCCCTTGCAACAAGTTCACCAATAATTATCTGAAAAGTCCTACCATTAGGACTACAACCTTTCTTATGAAGTCGTTTGTATTGCTCCAATGCAGCATCAGCGCGATCAGCAGCAAATAAAGCCTCCATCAGAGAATTAAGTGTATCAATATTGGGACCAACTCCAGCTTTCACAATCTCTTTATATACGAACAATACATCCTTAAATTCTTTCTTTTCCTTGACAAGTGCGCCCAATAATTGATTAAATACAGATATAGAGGGATTTAAGGTACACAAATTTATACAAGAAAGAACACATAAAGCCTCACTAAGCCTACTACTTCTAACAAATATATCAAGCAAATCCAAAAGAACTTGTTCAAAATTTGGGCATTTATCCTTTACCATCTCATTACAAAATCCTTCAATTTCATCTACTTTCCCAGCCATACCTAACTTCAAGATAATTTGAAAATAAGTATCAGCAGAGTGATGGAACCTTTTTTGAAGGGAAGCCCATTTGAATAACTTCAATGAAGAATCCAAATCAGCTGTGGAATCTAGAACACCGGCAAATGTTTCTGGGTGAAGCTTATTCTTTAAAAATTGAATCTTGGTTACAAAGTCAGAAGAACTGGTAGAGGGTTGATTGGATTCTGGATTGTTTTGAATTGTACAAGCACCAGAAAGTGAA